CAACTCCATATAGCAGTGGGACTGTGTACATTTCCTCCTGCTGATGCCAAAGATGGCAATTTGCACGAATTCCTTAATTTCAAACATGGTTTGACAGCAAAATCCGACTTAGCGTTTTCAGTTCGTGTCCTTCCAAGCTGTTTGACTCAGTGAAGGGCCTTATTGTTGCTTCGTGACTCCAAGTTTATGAAAGATCCACTTAAAACAGAGCCTTTCGGGCTTTTCAAAGCACAAACTTGATGCTACCCACAAAGCTTCTTCAGCACATATGGTTCTTAATGCAATTTTGTTTAACCGCAATCATAATTTAATTGCCATAAAACTGAAATGAAAGGACGTTACAAACAAGCCTTTGAGTTGAGTGTCAGTTAAAATAACCATTTGCTGAAGAGGCCAGAACTTAAAGGAGAAAATGGCACCAAAATTCAAAAGACAAAAGAATTTATATTTTCAAAAGGTGACTCATAATCTGTGATTGCAAAACCTTAGCCTTCATGTGAAACAATATCGCAAGTCCAGGGGTACTGCTCTTGTGTTAAGCCCTTGGTCCTGACTGAAAATTAATTAATTTTCAGGAAGACATCTCAATCAGGAGAATATAAAGTGCACTCTGAAAGTCACGGATAACAATTTCCAGTTGTTAAAAATCACTACCAATCATTGCAGGAAGTGAAAAGTAAAGGGATAGGAAACTTTTCATTACAATCAAAAAACATAATAATAACCAGCCTCAGATAATGTCTCCATTAACAAGATTCTTGGGTTCTAATATAAAGAATCTTTTTTCGTAGCCACAAAATCATTTTACCTTCTAATTATGAGTTGGTTTAAGTCCTGCAAGTTTTTCAGAGCCCTCGTCTTAGTTGTGCAACCTGAGACTTTGCAATCCGCTGCTCTGCAGATGTCTGCCATTACCAGCTGCCTCCCGACCCTTGCTAAGAGCTCCTAACTTTCCAAGTCTCTCTCCTGTGGCCCATCTCCATCCACAGTCACTTCAAAAAGGGACACAGCGTGTCACCCGCCTCCCCACATGAAAACAAAACAGTGGCCACAGCCCGAATGAATGAAATTAGATAGCTTTAACTCACACGCACGCACATCACTACGTTCGCTATCACAACCCACAACAAATGATGAGTTTTCCTGTCCTCCAACATCCAATTTTCATTTGCCGCAATTTAAAATCCGGCGCTGAGTCCCACTGGAGGGGTGAGCACTGGCATGCCCGGTCTAGTCTTAGAGTCTTTACCATTCCTAACTTTTCATACCACAACCAGGTTAGGAGAGAGATCAAATCTGACCATTACAAACACCACTATGACTTCCAAAACTACAATCACAGGGGAACACCCAGCCCAGCCCTGCCCTTTGCAGACCCTTGTGGCAGGTTCCCAGCCAGATGTGGCCCCGGACTTCAAGGAGGTGTCGTCACATCTTCGTTATGGGGGCTCAAGGATTAAGAGGTTGAAATGGAAACCGGGTGCCCTGCCACGATTCGGTTTATACAAAATCCACAGGCATATTGGAGCCGTTAGAAAGGAAACCTCGGAACGGTAAATATTTAGCCATCCAACCCCTCGGCAGGTCCTCAGAGAGCAGGCTTTCTCGGTGGCACCCTAGCGCCCGCGGAGCCCCTCGGGCAGCCCACCTGCTCACTCCCAGGCAAGACGCTCAAGTTCAAGCCTACAAGATGCTGTGGAACAACACTGTCCAACAGAAACACAGCAAGAGCCACAAATGGGAGCCACATGTGTGATTTTAAGTTTTCCAATAGCCATATTTTAAAGAGCTGGGTGAAATTAATTTGAACAATATATTTAATTTAACCCAATATACCCAAAATACTATCATTGCAACATGTCCCCAAGATAAAGATGCATTAATGGGGTATTTTATGTTCTTTTTTGGTACTAAGCCTTTGAAATCAGTGCGTATTTTACCTTGCACTTAGGACAGGCCACATTTCATGTGCTGAAGAGGCACGTGGGGCTAAGGGCTGCCGCAGTGGCAAGTGACAGGTGGCATGGGGATCTCACTGCCCAGGCTTGGACCCCAGCGTGGCCACCTCCATACTGAGACCCTGGCAAGCCACTCGGCTTTCTGAGCCTCAGTTCCGGCCACTGCTCAGCATGTCTGTGTGACTGTGAGTGTGGGAAGGGGACGATGAGAATGGTACCGACCTCACAGCGTCAGCTTGAGGATGAAAGCAGAGATTCCTTAGGACACGATGCTGGGCTCATTCCGTTCCCAATAAATTCTTCTGCAGATTCAACACGTATTTAATGAGCATGTAGTAGGTGCCAGGTCCTGGCACAGATGTGAGGAACACAGCAGAGAGCAAAACTGATACAGGCCCTCCTTCACAGAGCTGGCAGCCTAGTGCGATGATAGACAATAAACCATAAGAGAAGAACAGCATCCCATGTCAGATGTTGGTATAAGATACAAAGGGGTCATTCTGTTATCCAGATGAACCAGGGAAGGCCTCACAAAAAGGTGGCACTGAAGCAAAGACAGGAAGGAGGTGAGGTTTCTGGGCACATAGCCATCAGCAGGAAGGGCATTCGAGGCAGAGGGAACAGCCAGTGCAAAGGCCCTGAGGCAGGAACATGGTTGGTGTATGGAAGGAGCAGCTGGGAGGCCAGGGAGGCTGGAGCTGAGTGAGAGACGGAGGAGGAGTATGGGGTGCTCCCACGGTGCTGGTCAGTCGCAGGAAGGATGCTGACTTTAACTTAGTATGAAACAGGGAGCCATCGAGGCCTCTGAGCAGAGGAGCGCTTGAGCTGACCTGAGCTTTCAAAAATCCCTCTGCGGCTCTGTGGGCGGGAGATGGTAAGAGGGCAGAGGACACGGGAACACCAGGGAGCGGCTCTCTGGGGCATCGAGGAGAGAGATGACGGTGGTTTGGGCCAGGGTAGTATCCATAAAGGGTATATGTTGACGGCAAAGCCAACAAGAGTTTCTGATGGAGGGGGGTGGGGGCTGAGAGAGAAGGTAAAAGGTGACAAGGATCATGGCCTGAACACTGGCTCATGAGAGTCAGTTAGTTAAGATGGAGGATTTGGCCCTGGCTGGTTTGGCTCAGTGGAGAGAGCGTCTGCCTGCAGACTGAAAGGTCCCAGGTTCGATTCCAGTCAAGGGCACACACCCATGTTGTGGGCTCCATCCCCAGTGGGGGGTGTGAAGGATGCAGCAGAACAATGATTCTCTCTCATCATTGATGTTTCTCTCTCTCTCTCTCTCTCTCTCTCTCTCTCTCTCTCTCTCTCTCTCTCTCCCTCTCTCTCTCTCTCTCTCCTTCTCTGAAGCCAGTAAAAACGTATTTTTTAAAAAAAGATGGAGGATTTGTCATGTGTTCACTGCGCACCAGGGTCCGTGCCCAGTGTTTCCCACGAGGGTCATGAACCCCAGCAGCAATCCTCTGAGGCAGCACTGTGGCTGCTCCCATTCCACAGCAGAGATAACTGAGGCTTGAAGAGGTGAGACCACCCACCACACAGCCGGACTCATTAAGTTCAAATATGGGCTGTTATCTCCAGAGGCCAAAGGTCTCTCCTCCACACCCAGCACTCCTGTCTCCCACCCCCAGCATCTTACAGGTGAGAGGATGGGACCCCCATCCCTCCCTGGAACCTTAAAACATCCAGCGCTGGGCCTTGCCTGAGAGATTGGTCCTCCAGGCGGATCTTCTGCTCCTACAGGACACAGCTCCCCTGGCTGCAGTGACCCTTCCATAGGCCACCACAGCACCTGCACAGGGCGGACCCCGAGGGGGAGACACACTGAGGGCAGCTGTGAGGGGCTGGGTAGTGGCCCTAGGATACTGAGGTTCAGATCCCTGGGGCCTAGGGCTGTGGCCTCGGGCGGCAGTGCTTTGCAGGCGTGCTTAAGTGAAGGGTCTTGAGACAGAAGGTGACCCTTGTTACCATGTGGGCCCTAGGTGCATCGCAGGCATCCTTGCTGGAGGAAGGCAGAGGGAGGTGTGACACACGGAGGAAGCCCCTGTGGCTGGGAAGAGGAAGGAGGGGCCAGGCACCAAGGACCTTTGTCTAGGGGTTGAGAATTTGAGGACAGCAATAGCAGGGTGCTGCACCAGCCCGGGCCCTTCTGCATGGGCTGTGTGTGCCTGCCCGGCTCCCGCACCCATGAGGTCAGAAACAGAGACTAACCCACAAAGAGGTGCGGAGAGAAAGCCCCTCCCCACCCTCCTGGCCTCCCCATGAGGCAGAGGCAGTGGGGCTTCTGGGACCTGCGGGGGTGGCACCAGGTCACGAGAATCCAAGAGGGATCTTTTCAAGCAATTCAGCTCTGTGTTGGCACAGGGCCTCGGATAAGCGGTCTTGCACCTCGTGCTGCATCCCGACATCTGCTTCTGTGACTGGGGCCAGCGCCCAGGGAGGCACCATCCTGCCCAAGTCACCATGCTGGTGACAGGGCAGGCGCCAAGGGCAGGCCAGCCGGGGGGGGGGGGGGGGGGGCCTGGGAGGGAGGGAGTGCAGGAGAAGGGCATTACCTGCTTTCCCCATCCGACAGTATCACCTGAGCGTCGGCCAGGGGGGGCTCCGAGGTGGCCCCAAATAGTGGAGCTGTTTGTCTGCTCATCCCCACTGTGCGTGTCGTCCCACACGTGCCTCCGCTCCTCCACTGCCCAGATTAGGGGCCACGGAACACTTGTGTCCCGGCAGGGAACGGGGCATCTGCCAGACGCTGCCCGTGGAGGCCAGAATCCCTGAATCTGCCAAATTTCACCAAGGCTCTGAACGAGAGGCAGAGACTGTCAGAAACACCGACTCCGAGGAGAGGAGGGTCAGGAGGAAGCGTGCAAATGAGAAGCACCCGTGCGCGGCCGTTACCAGGAGCCCTGCCTGCGGGACGCGGCCGGGCTGTCCGAAGTGCCAGCAGTGTGAAAATAAATATTGATGTTCACTCTAAGGAACAAGGTTTTGTTTTATTTACTCTCATCCGGAGCAGAACATTTTCAACATAAACTCATCATCCCGACCACCGCAAAGCGAAGCCGTTTCCCACACATGGCCGTCTTTCTCTCTAAAGAGGGAGACGGGAGGGGAGCATGGGGGGCTCTTCTGTGAGTTTCAAAGGGCTGGTTTCAATGAGGGCGCTGGCAGCGCTGGCAGCTGTGTGGCTTCAGGTTTGTGTGAGGTCAGATGATTTTTCGAATTCTTGGATCCCTGGAGGGGGCAGGAAGGGAGAGAAAGGGGCCAGGGTCTGAAAGATCAGGATTGCCTGCCAGATAAAAACGAGGGGCTTGGGAGGGGGAAACACAGGATTAGCATAACAAACTCGCATTCTTTTGTTCACTCATTCAACAAATATTGAACAAGCTCCCATTCAGTGGAGGGTTCCGCGGAGCAGGTCCTTTGGGGAGCGGAAGAACAAATCCACTTGGCGGCTGTGAGACACTGTTAGCTCCGGAGTTGCAGGCGGGGGCCTGGGTGGATTCTGTCTGTTCCACATGGTGTTGGTGCTTTTAAAAATGAACTACTTGCCAGCGTTAAATACAAAATGAGGTTCTGAAGAACTGGAATAGGGAGCCGCTGGGCCCCCCCGCACAGGGCAACCATCGCTGAAGCCGCGTGGAAATTTCCCACAGGGGGTAATTTCACCCTCTGGGGACATTTTTGTTTGACACAAATTGGGGGAGGGTGCTATTGGCATCTAGTGGGTAGAGGCCAGGGATGCTGTCAAACATGCTCTGACACCCATGTCAGCCCCCGGAATAAAGACTATGTAGCCCAAATGCCAAGAGGGCCCAAACTGAGAAACCCTGCAACAGACAGGCGTGCCTGTAGGCCACAGTCTCCACCACTCCCTATTGTTCCAGGGCAGTGACGACAAGAGTGACTTGTCCTTTGTCATCTTACATGGGCCCTTCATTCATGTTCATTATAGTCTGGCCCCACAGGATCCTACCCTAACAGGAGCTCCTGTGTGTGACTGCCTGTCCAGCTCCCATGCCTTGCCCACCCACTCCTCACACTGCAGGCGGCTGATCTTTCTGTAACTTCAATCTGATCTGGTAAAATCCTCATCCCTCAGCATAGACTCTGAAATCGATGTCTCCTACTGAAGATGGGGGAGCAAAGAGAGAGAAGGAGCCCTGGTTTCCAACATGATTGACCTGAGCTACTACACTGAGATGCAAAAAGAAGCAAGCTTCTGCCTGGCTGGTGTCCGTCAGTGGCTGAGCTTCCACCCAGGAACCACGAGATCTGTCTCAGTTCGATTCCCAGTCAGGGCACATGCCCGGGGTGTGGGCTCGATTCCCCAGTAAGGGGCGTGCAGGAGGCAGCCGATGGATGATGTTTCTCTCTCATCGATGTTTCTCTCTCTCTATCCCTCTCCCTTCCCTTCTCTCTAAAAATCAATAAAAATATATTTAAAGAAAAAAAGAAAGAAAGAAGCTTCTGTGTAGCCTCAGCCACTGTCATGTTGATCTTGGTCACAGCAGCCACACTAATAAGGTGAGTGAGTTGTCAGAGGCTCCGGGATCCGGTCATTCTCAGGATCCAGGTCATAGCTCATGGCTGGCCTTAGCCAAGTCTTTGGGTTGACATCTCTGACTTGGGTTCCCCCCTGAAACTGAAATGGAGCATTTGAATAATTTCGTGGGTCCTTTCCCCATCCAGTCGTCTAGGTCTTGCTTCATCTCCATTCCCACCCCAGCTTCCATAGAGATGCTCTGACTGGTGCCCCCTGTGTTAACAGGTCATTTTCCAGGAGCACCTAGTGGCAAAGAACATGATCTGGGAAGGGATGGACTGGATAACCTCTTCCTTCTAACACTCTTCATCCACTGTCTTCTGAGGAAACCTGGGCAGAAATGGCTGCACTTGAGGCTTCTCCGTCTGGCTTGGGGTCCCAAGGAGGAGGTTCCCCCACAGGAAATGAGAAAATTAGTGATACCGTTTCATATATTCCAGGATGGAGAGCTATGGTGTGAACTGAAAAGACACGTCTAATTAGTCAGAAACAGCATTTGACACTGTCCTGCGCTACAGACTGAGACGCTGTAGCAGATCTACCTAATCCAGTCACAAACCCAAACAGGCAGCCACAACGAGGAGGCAAAGAAACAACCCCCAGCCCTAGCTGGTTTGGCTCAGTGGATAGAGTGTCAGCCTGTGGACTGAAGGGTCCGAAGTTTGATTCTGGTCAGAGGTACATGCCTGGGCTGCGGGCTTAATCCCCAGGAGGCAGCCCATCAATGATTCTCTCTCATCATTGATATTTGTATCTCTCTCTCCCTCTCCCTTCCTCTCTGAAATCAATAAAAATATATTTTAAAAAAGAAGAAACAACCCCCAAATGAAAGAACAAGAGACTTCTCCAGAAGAGATAAATGAACTGAGGAGACTGCTTGATCCTGCCAGGAAAACCCTGCCAGGTCCAAGCCCAGGGCGTGCTTCACAAGCTACCAATGGTGAGGGATCACTTTTTATATCTGTCAACACACTGCAGGCCAACATGTGGTCCTACTGTGCATGGCTAGGACCAGCCTGCACCACATGGGCCCTAATCTCACCACTGTCTACTCTGTTCTGTAGAAGAGACGCTGACTGGTCAGATGCTTGGCCGTGGTTTGATGTCACTTTGCTGTAAGTCTCTCAGCATGCCCCCCCCCCCCCAATTCCTCAAAGACGAGTAACCAACACTTCACAGGTGGCACCGAATCTTCAACCATGCTTGGAGCGGCCAGGGTCCAGGGCCTGTGTTTGTAGGTGGTGACGGAGGCACAGGCTGGGATATACACGGGGCCACGCTGGAGGTTGTGACTACATCTATAACTTACCTCTCGATACAGGAGGGCCCTGTATTGGATGCAACACTTGCCCCCACAAGGAATCTCCATCAACCTGAGCTTAAGCAAAAGAGAGAATTGATCTAAGATGCAGCGATATCTGGGAGATCCCCCTGGCTGGGTATAGCCAGGCTCAGGGAAGGGCTAGAACGGGGTGCAGATCCCCCCCCCACCTCACGTCTCTCTCTCCCCATCACTGTTCCCTGTGGCTTCTGCAGATGACCCCCAGCCTCTCAGGACCTGTGGCTTTGTGAGGTTGTACCTTTAAACTTTAACAAACCGAGTTTAATCCAACTGGAGAAAACTTCTGCTTTTAAGGGTCTCATGTGATTAGACTGGGCCCATCCAGATAACCTTCCTTCTGATGAACTTAAAGCAACTGATTAGTAGCCTTAATTACATCTCAAAATCCTTTTTGCCATTTAAAGTAACACAAGCATGGAGCGGTCTCTCAGCACGGACACAGTGCCGGGGTTAGGGCAGGAAGAGCAAGCGGTCTCGGAATGTTGCCTACTGCAGGACATAACCACTCCCTCAGAGAGGATGGCTGTGTTCTCACCAGGAGGGAAGCTTTTCCAAGGATACCCCCAGCAGACTGGCCAGGACTGGGTCCCAGGCCCAAACTCAGCAGAGGAAGCCAGGAAATGAGCTCTGGTACCGTCACGGCCTCTAAGGGCCTGGCCAGGAAGAGAGAAGATGTGGGGAGGAGATGGCTGTTGGGAGGCAGCAGCAGGGTCTGCCACACATGCTCAGAGCAATGGTCTTCCCTTGCTCTTTGTCCAAATCATTTCCTTTAATTTGTAATGAAATGTTGAATCATTTAGCCCTTTGTTGTCTATCATCCCCCCAAAACTGGTATTTATCTGTGAAAAGCTGCCTAGGAAGCAGTTCCTGTCACTCATAAACAAGGACCATAATACCCACCTCCCCCAAGTGTAGGAGGAAAGTGCTCTATAGGTGTGGTGCTAACTTGCATCAGTTAGTTAGCCTTTGCTGCGCAACAAATGATCCCAAGCTTAATGGTGTAAAACAGCAAACATGTTCTTTAAACGCCTCCTAACTCTGTTGGTTGGCTGGGCTGTCTTCTGATCTGGGTTGTCTTGGCAGTGGCTCGCTAGTCACTCACTGGTCTGAGGTCTTGCCTAGAGGGCTGGGCCTATCATGTACTTGTTCTCATGGTGGCAGAAGGGTTTCCAGCAGGAGGAGGGACAGCAAACCCTGTGCAGAAGCACTTTTCAGTCTTCTGCTTCCATCATGTTTGATAAAGTCCCATTGGCCCAAGCAAGTCACAGGGCCAAGTCACAGTCCAAAGCGTGGACAAATAAACTCTACTTCTTGATCGGAGAAGCCATAAAATATTGTGGTCATTTTTTCCCCTCAACAGAGTCCTAACCCAACCACTCAGTCATCGGGCCCTGTTGGAAATGGCTCTCGGAGAACTGCATGGTCGGAACAAAGAACACACAAATGGATTTTCCTAGAATACGTTCAATCCGGTTCCAATCACTCCCACTCAAGTTTTCCATTTTGGAGAAGATCCACTCTATGCCCAAAGTTCTCACATCTCAGCCTCTAAAGCACTATTGTTGACAACTAAACTTCTCATGAAACGCAACTGTATCTATCTGTCAGGGGGAAGGCGTCCTCCCAGACACCTTGACCACCTGTCATCACAAGCTGCAGGCAGCTGTCAAAATGCTCTGTGCCTTATAAATATGTATCGTGCCAGTTCTCATATTTTGTGCTGAGAGAGGGTATCAATGCTACAATTAATTAGCCTAATTTGCATTCAAGACTATACATAATTAATTTCTTCATTAAAAGCTTTCAACATTTCTTTGCAGAAAGTGCAAAAAGATCATTGATGAGGTTTGAAAAAGCAATTAGTAATAAAATATGTCAATGCCGGGATGAGAAAACAGTACCATGGTAACCCATGCCACTCAAAGCCAGGATGATCCTGGGGCTCAGAGACACTTGCTTGTCATCCGACTTGTCCCAGACTGTCATTTTCAGGCGAAAACAACCGTCTCATTTATCCCTCCTCCCCACGCTGTTTTCCACTCTCCCAGGTGTCTATGAGCTCCTAGGGAAGAGTTCTAATCAGAAATGCCAGGCAAACAGGTGGTCCTTGGCCTGTCCTCAGTGTTCTGCTGGGCAGACTGCTGGAAAAATCAAGTATATTTCTCCTCATGTAGCCACTACAATAACAGTGATAAAATAATAATAATCAACATTTACTGGGATCTTGCTATTTTTCAGGGACCGCTAAAACTTTACATGTCTTCTTTCATTTAATGCTCACAAGACAACATTTCGAAATTGCTACTACTATAAATCCCTATTTACCATGTTAGGACAGGAATTTAC